CTCAGCTCAAGGTGCCGTGTTCAATTTTAGTTGCGGTGAAGTGCAGCCCACCATCTCATACAGGTGTTGAACTGGCAGCCTTGCTGCTAAGAGCACGCACTCTCACCAGCTCAGCTGCAGCTCATTGGCCCTTGTGGGAATTGAACTGGTGACCCTGTTGCTCAGAGCTCTCGCTCTTAACCAACTGAGTCACTCGGCCAGCCCTTTCTTTTTTGTTTTTTTAAATGAAGGAAGGAACAAAGTGCCCAGGAAGAAAAAAATGCCTAAGGCCATTAAAGTCAAAATGCGGCCTTGCCCAATAATCCATCCATAGGCCCCACTATTATTACCCCTACTCCAACAGGCAGAGTCCCTCTCCTACCACACACATGGGTACACAGCACTGAATTGTTACACCTTGGACTTCCACAAATGCTTCTCCTTCAGCATGCAATCCTTCCACCCTCCAATGCAGTTGCATCAAATCCTCCCTGTCCTTTTCCACTCAGTTCCCTGCCCTCTCCTCCAGAAAGCCTTCCACGCCCACTAGAACAGCCACCAATCCCTGCCTTGTCTGAAGCTCCACCCACCCAAGGGTGCACGGTTCTTCTATTACTCTTCATGATCTTCAAGCGTTAATGTGGAATGGGAGGATGAGCAGGAGAACAGCAGCAGCGTTTGTTATGATGTGAGTCCCAAGACCCAACTCCAGGTGCAGCTCATGCTCACCTTGGGTGGTCACGTGAGGCCCCACCCCCTCACCTCTACCAGTGCACCACCCAGGATCTGGCTCCTTGCAGAGCGTAGCCTGCAACACACACCCCAGCTGACAGACTGGCACGCATCGGGATGGATGCAGCACCCCTATGCCCTGGGGCTAAGGGCCCAGCTGCCTTGCCTGGTGCCCGCGCAACACGCAATTTGGTTTCTCTGAGCCTCCTGCCTTGCTTGATCTTGCTGGCCAAGTGCTCTATGCTGGGCCACGTCCATCACCACTGCACCCCGTGCACTGACCCATTGCCTCTCGTCTAACTGTACCTCTTCTTTAAGGTGAAGCACTGGGCACCTCCGCTAACCCATCAGAGGGACCCCTCTCTCCTGGTTGTCTCTCTGCTGCTGTGATCTGTGAGGGCTCATTCATCTCCCTACAGTGGCCCACCAATAAAAAGGTCTTTAATACCCTTAGCATCTCACTTCCAAAGTCCCCACGCCTCTCCTGTTCCCTGGCCCCAGCAGGGACAGGGCCCAGAGGCCAGTGTCCATGAGTGTGTGGATGTACGTCCAAGAAGGACGTTCTGGTTTGACCCATCCCCAGGTCCTTTTTCCTCATTGATCTACTTCAGGTCCACCAGCAAAGGCGATGTGGGGGGCATTTTAGGTGTAGGGCTTGGCTGCCTGAGTCTGGCTGGACAAGCATTTAGCAGAACTTGCTGTCCCAAAGAGTTCATCAATCAAACCCCACATGGGACAAAGTACAGCTCTCTGCACACGCTGATCCCTCACAAACGCCCCTCCCTGAGCACCTGGGATGTGTGGCCCAGCTGGAGCTCAGCTCCTCTGAAAGGCTAACCCCACACTGCAGGGTTGAATCTGTGGTGGAGATGGACACTGGTCTGGGGGCTACGGAGTCAATGACCAGGCCCCAGGAAGCCTGTTTACTTTACTAAATTAACTTACAATGTGACACAAAGAAACATCTGATCATTTTGAAAAACCTTGTGAAAACAAAAAGACACGCTCCTGGGGAAATGGCTTCCCCAGGTCAGATGCTAGTCCAGCAGCCCATGAAGGGCCAGGGGGGCCTGGCAGCCTGGAGGGGTCCATGCTGAGAGGTGAGACGGGAGCAGACCACGCTGAGGCCCAGGTCAGAGACAGTCTGGTCCCCAACGGGATCAAGACTTGGAGGGGCTAGGGCCCTACAGTGGGTTCAAGACTGTCCCCCCAAAATTCCATTCAGTTGGGACCTCAGAATGTGACCTCATTTGAAAAAATGGTCTTTGTGGATATAATTAGTTAAGGATCTTAAAATGAAAGATCATCCTGGATTTAGATGGGCCCCTAAATCCAATGCCTGGTGACCTTATAAGTAAAGGAGGGGACACACAGAGACACAGAGAGAAGGTCATGTGAAGATGGAGGCAGACATTAGAGTATTGTAGCCCCGAGCCGAAGAATGCCTGGAGCCACCAGAAGTTGGAAGTGGCACGGAGAATTCTCTCCCAGCGCCTTTGCAAGGAATGAGGCTCTGTCACATCTTGACTCCACACTTCTAGTCTCCATAATTGTGAGAGAATAATTTCTGTTGTTTTAAACCACTCGTTACTGGTCATTTGTTATGGCAGTCCCAGAAAACTAATATAGACCCAGGAGGTGAGAGACGAAACCCCGGGGGCAGAGCCGGTAGATTGAGGTGAGAGCTCCTCCGGCAAGCCCCCAGCCTGTAAGGGCAGGTGGACACAGTCTTTCTGCTCCATTCCCAAAGGCTCCATGGGTCTCCGGAAGTGCCTGAGTGCAAAGCTGCAGCCCTCCAGAAACGTCCCTTCACTCTGGGAGCGCTGGGTAAGCTCCAGCAGGCAAGGAACATCTTCTGGGGGCAGCCCATTAGGCTGCTTTCCTGACTTGTGCTGTGGAAGGTCCGGGGATGGGGCAGTGGCTCCAGCCTTGACTATAAATCCATCTCAATCACCTCTGAAATTTGCAAAATGCTAATTACTGCCTGGGCCAGCCTGTCAATCTCCCGGCCATACCCCCAGTAGGTAATATTAATGTGCAGCCAAGATACAGGAGCCATAAGGGACCCAAGAGAAACCCCAGAAGAGTACTGCTTCCAAATCCTCCCCTCCCACCCTCAGCAGCCACTTGCAGAGGCGGGAGACCACCCAACGTGGCTCTAGTCTGTTTCAAAGAGGTGACCCAAGGACCAGGCTTGTAGGTGTGTTTCACTGGCCTAGGGGAGGGGAAGGGGGGCTGGTACACACAGAAGGTCAGGAATATTCACAGTGCAGGTACCAGGAAGTTTCTTCATAGAACATCTTGAAAGTAATTTCTTAATTGAGGTTTTATACAAGAGAATGGTTGCAGACATGTATCTCACTAGGCTGTTTGTAAGTCTTGATTTTTCACTTCTTCAAGGTAGTGGATTCAGATGGGGTGGTGAGAGGCTGGGGAATTCACGTCAAGAAAACAAGGCACCTTTGTGCAGAGGGGAGTGCCAGGCAGAAGGTGGAAGAAGATCCCTCTCCTGAGGCCCGAAGGCTGACAAGGTGGCTTCTCCCCAGGGCTGGCCAGGTGGAAAGGACCACTTGGAGGTCTAACCAGCTCTGCATGCCCGGGTCCTCATGGGTCCTCATGCCAGCCCCTCGGGGCCTCGGGCTTGCTCAGCCCAGGCTGAGGGAGGACTCGCTGACTGCCACCCAGAATGAGGTTGAACCCCCTCCACCCTCCATGTGAGGCTGAGTCAGAGTCTGTGGCCAGGTCATTTTCTCCTGTCTCTCCAAACAGAGTCAGCACTTGATATCTGTTTTCAGAATGAGTGAATGGGGTACAGGGGGCAGAGACAGAGCCAGAGACACACAGAAAGGATGCGACGGAGGGAGGGGTGACTCCATCCTGGGAACCGTCTGGACAACTCAGCTAATTGAGGCTGGGGGGCAGGGGTGTGCTGGGCTGTACTGGATAACGGACAAGATGTTTGTGGGGGGGGTGGGGAGTAGTCACTGTTCTAGGGGACAGCTAGGAGCCTCCTCCAGAGCCCTCGGGAGCTTGTCTACTTCCCAAACGCCTCTTCCACCGTGCTAAGACAAAATAAACAAATTCATATTTCCCCCTCTCCATCTCCAGAGGATTCATTAAAATAAGCCTGTGTGTGCACCGAATTGGGGCCCCAGCCTCCCAGCCTAATTACCATTTTAAAGCGTATTGGGAAAGAAATGCTACCTGCAGGGAAAAAAAAAGTCAGAAAAACCTGCAATGGGGAGAGGGTACCTACTTCCCTCTGGACTTTCTCGCCTTCGCACCACAACGCTGACATTGGGCCTCTGTGGCCTCTCAGTCTGGTGGGCTCTAAGACCAAGGAAGACAGTGTCACCCCAAGCCACTCTGGTACCAACAGGCACTTGACACCAGCTATGGCCAGGCCCTGTGCTGGGCCCCCAGCAGTCCTGGCTTTAACCAGGCCCAGAGCCCATCCAGGAACCAGAGCACACAGGAGTTCCTGGAGTCTGGAGGCAAATGAACCCCTAGGACGATGTGCACTACGACAGGGGCTATGGGGAGGGGGGCCGAGCATGGGGAGGGTCCCACTCACAGAGTAAACATGTGCCCTGAGCCGTGATGAGTCATGAATTTTTCACAGCAGAGACGAGGAGAAGGAAGGGCATTCTGGCAGAGGCGACACCGTGAGCCAACGTATGGAGGCATGGGAGTGTCCCTGTGTGGGGAGCAGCAGGCAGGGACACCCGCTGGACCACAGGATGTGGGACGAGCAGTGGGCAATAGGAGATGACATGGGAGATGGAGGTGGGCTGAGATCTTGAGGGACTCGAACGACCTGGCGCGGAGCTGATCCGTGTCAACGAGGACCACTGCAAAGGCCCTAAGGACACCTCTGCCACCCTCCACGGCCAAGGACACCAACCAGCCCCGGGTCTCACTGTGTTCAATGGGACACCAACAAGAAGCATTCTGTTTCTTGATATTCAAAAACATCAAATAATTGAAATAATATCTGTGAGATGTGCGTACACGCACGCGCACACACATAAATACCAAGTCAGAACTGAAGTCTGTTAGGGCTCGAATCTCGAATGCAGACTGATGTGGTAGAACTCCCCTTTTGGGGAGGCGAGGCCTCTGGCAGGCCCGCCGTGGTGCAAAGCCCCAGCCTAGAGAGGACACAACAATAACAGCATGTGAGGTCACCACCCAAAAGCCAGTGTGCGGAGCTGTGCACATCCCTTAGGGTCCCTCTCCCGGAGCCTCGTGCTCTGACCCTTCCGTCAATTCTTACCAAGTTCACTAGCTATCTGGCATTTCAGATGACAGCAGAGGAAAAGCAGGGAACTTGAGGGAGGCAGACGAGGGGCTGTATCTGAGGCAAAGCTGATGACTGGTCCAGAGGAAGACAGACATGTCTGACTAAAGAGCAGACAGAACTGTAATCAGCAGTGAGCTACAGTCTGCATCCTCTGTCAGTCCAGGAAAGCGGAGGGACCTCTTAGGACAGCTGTCCCCAGTGTGTTCTATAAATATCTGTCCTCTGAGGACTCGATGACAAAAAGATTCCATGACCAAACACATCTGGGAGATCTGCACACTACATCCCTCTTCCATCACATATCCACACACTGATGTAGAAAAAGCCCTGAGAAGTCCTGCAGTGGTAGAAAAGTTGATTTACCTTTGTTCACCAGTATTCCCTATATGTATACAAGTACTAAATCTTCCTCTCTGTCATTTTTTTTCTCAAATAACACCTACAAACATTCCTTGGAATCCAATGAATCACAGAATCCACTGGCTTCGAAAAATGCCTTATTATTTGTCTCTTTCTTAAGGAAGAAAACAATCTTTTTCTTAAAAATAGTTGAAATGATTACATTTGGTGCCTTTTGCAAAAAGCTACAGTTGCAGGACAAATCCATTTCATTTGCACAAACCTCCCTACTCGCCAGTGGTGCCAGGAAAGTGGAATGTTACTGGCCTCCAAGAGCTCAGCCTGTGGGCCACTGGTTGACTTCAGGCCACTCTGGGAGCCAGGAGCCACAGGTCACTCTGTCCAGCCTCCTGCCCATGTAGAGCAGTGCAGGCCCATCACATCAGCCTCTCCAGGGAAGTGCCTCAGCAACTCTGTGTGTGTATGCTGCACATGCATGCACGTGTGTGTGTGTGTGTGTGAACACATATGCATGAAGGTCCAACAAATATAACCATGTTCAAGGAGCAAGTTCTCCAGCTGTTCTTTTACCTCCCTCATCTTGCATCTTGTCCATC